AGCTAATATTAATGGGTTAATATATTCAAATAGGGGTAATGGGTCTCTATCTGGTACTAAAACCCATTATATTGACAGTGGGTTCAATTTTACTTGAGGTTCGAATCTCAAGAGTTCATTTTGTCTCCTGGTGTTCAGTTTATGTTGAATCACAGGTCGAGGTTCATTTTATCCCAGGGGTTCGGAGTTTTGTTTTCACTCACTTGGGAGGTTCACTTTTTGGTGGTTTTTCAGGGTTTCAGTTTTTTTGGGATTCACTTTTTGGTTTTCCTCCAAGGGTTCAGTTTGGTTGGATTCACTTTTTGTTCATGGTTCAGTTTGGTTGGGTTCACTTTTTGGTGGTTCATTTCCAGAGGTTCGTTTCTAAGGGTTCAATGGTGTTTGTTCGGTAGCCATTGATAATTTTGTTATTGTTGTTATTGTTATTGTTGTTGTTATTGTTGTTGTTGTTAACGTCACGACACCACTCCAGTCCACCTCTTAATTTAACCCCAGCAGAGTGAAAGGTGTTCGATATCTGTCTGTCTTTCTGTCTGTCTGTCTCAAACCTTTCACAGACGCTCTTTAATTTACCCAGCAGAGGAGAAGGTGTGTATGGAGCTGTCTGTCCATATGTCTGTCTGTCTGTCTATTTGTCTCACACTGTCTATCTTTTTGTTTGTCTATTTGTCTATCTGTCTTTGCCCGTCTATTTGTCTGTCACTGTCTGCTTCTAATATTCTGTCTCTATGTCCCTGTCTGTCTTTTCCTGTCTATTTGTGTGTCTCTGTCTATCTGTCTATTTAAACTTTCACGGAGACTAATTTACCCAGTAGAATGGAAGGTGTCAATCTCAGTCTGTCTGCCTGTCTGCCAATCTGTCTGTCTGTCTCTCCCATCCATTAAGCCTCACACACATATTTCTACAGGGATTTTTATCTCCAGGGATTTTAATTACCACGACGCTATATTCAACACAGGTAAATCCAGATTTTTTTCCCCACAGATTTTAATTAGTCAGATTTTCCCACACTCCAGCAGGTATTTTCAGATTTTTTTCAGGTTTTTCTTATTCGACAGATTTTTTGGTTTAATTATTTTTGAATTTAGTTGTGGTTCTCAAATACAGGTGGGAATGTGTATGGTAGAATGTAGTCCATTATATCGAGGTTCACTAGATATAAAACCCTTATATAATAGACTGTCGGAGAGTAAAGTCCATTATATCAAAGTCTATTAGATGTGAAACCTCCATATAACGGACTATACCCTAGATTGGTGTTCGTTAAATTGAAGTTTTACTCTATTTGGGTCGTGTCAGAGGCGGTGTGGATACAGTATACTGCACTCAACTACCATCACTCATTCACACTAAAATCAGTATACCTATTTACAGCTGAACGGCCTACAACTACCATGGGATCAAACCAGTGACCCTTGGGATAGGAATCAAACTCACTATCCACTCACCCACCACACACATCTCAATAATTATCCAGGTAAGTTATAATTAATTTTTCTATATTTAATCACTATATCATTATTCTGAATACAGGTAAATTACTAATACTTTTACTAATTAATTATTGTAGATGTGTAATATTTTCCTGCAGTGTTGTCAATTCCATCAACCATTGTGTCATAATTTTTAAACACAATTTTGTGGTCTTTTGTGTGATTGTAGTCTAATCCCGTTCATAATACAGGTACAGTAATCCCGTTCAAAATACAGGTAGGGTAATCCCGTTCAAAATACAGGTACAGTAATCCCGTTCAAAATACAGGTAGGGTAATCCCGTTCAAAATACAGGTACAGTAATCCCGTTCAAAATACAGGTAGGGTAATCCCGTTCAAAATACAGGTACAGTAATCCCGTTCAAAATACAGGTACAGTAATCCCGTTCAAAATACAGGTACAGGTCTGGAAGGTGGTAGAGCTTTCACACACACGTAAAGTATATTGAGACACACCTGTACACCCTCTCCCCTGACAGGTGTGTTGGCGGCTTATTAAACACCTGTGATTCACCTGTGAGTGTTGCCAATGGGTGTGTGTGTATGTGTGTGTACGTATGTATGATGTTTGTGTATGGCCGTATGTGTGGTTTTTTGAGGTGTATGCATGTAGGTATGGGTGTGTGTGTGTGTGTAGATTATGTATATACAGTATATGGTTGTGTGTGTATGTATGGTTATGTATGACATGTATATAGATATGAATGTATGAAATATATACATAGCTAATAATAAAATACACAGACATATACATAAATACATGTATAAAATCACACTTGTATGGTTGTATGAATGACGAGTCAGGGGCGATCTTGGTCAGACTGTCAGCTGGTAATCTTATTGTCAGCACACGTCAGCCATCTGGGGGTAACTGAATGATGCACTTTAAGTTGACCTGTGACGATTGACTTGTTGAAGACATCTTGCTGTTGTGACTTGTGGCCTCCAGATCAACAGTGGAGAGAGAGAGAGAGATAGATAGATAGATAGATAGATAGATAGATAGATAGATGGAGAGAGAGAGAGAGAGAGGTTCCAACTCCTTGTAAACTGACTCACAACTACAGGCCCAACCTAACTCGAACCCCTCCCTCCCTACACACCTGTGCTGTACACCTGCTGGGCTAACGACACCTGTTCTCTCTCTGTCCCTTAACCCCCTCACTCCAGGTGGACCTCGTTAGTGTGGGCTAGAGACAAGTAATTACATAGGTTTAATTTTGAGGGGTTGGATTAACGGGGTTCTGAGGTGATTCTATTTAAATATGTATTGGGCTTACATGATCGACATACATACATACATACATACATACATACATACATACATACATAGATAATAGATACATACATACATACATACATCCACAACTAGTTTACATGGAGGTGCGTGTGATGTGTGCATGTTTTATCATACATACACAGCATACACACACACATACACACACACACACATACACACACAGGTATAAAAATACTTAAGGTGTGTTTAATAGGTAATTAGTTGATGCTAATGAGTAGGTAAACGATTAGGGTATGAATAATTAATTGGTAAGGTGTCTAGGGAGAGGGGGAGGGGTAGGGGAGAGAGGGGTGTGGGAGGGGAGGGGGTGTAGGGGAGGGGAGGGTAGGGTGGGAGGAGGAGAGGAGGGGGTGGGGGGAGGGGGAGGGGGTAGGTGTTGAGAGGGGGTGAAGAGGGAGCTGGTTGGGAGAGGAGAGGAGGGAGTGAAGAGGGGGAGGAGGAGGAGGGGTGTAGGATGGAGGGGAGGGAGAGGGAGAAGGGTAGTGTAGAGTGGAGGAGGAGGAGGCAATATGGGGATGGAAGGAGGTAGAGGGGGTGTGGTTAAGGGAAGGGGTGGAGGGAAGGGGAGGGTAGTGAGGGGTGATTGGGTCAGGCTATAGGTAAATTCAGTTACCATCACCACCGATAGACTGAGAGAGACAGACAGACAGACAGACAGACAGACAGACAGACAGACAGACAGACAGACATTTCATCATTCCTTTTGGTAATTACGTCACTCATTAACCAAACTAACTTAATTAACATCATACAGGAAAGAGTTAATTCGCCAGCAGAGAGAGAGAGAGAGAGAGAGAGAGAGAGAGAGAGACCATCTAATATTTTTCACCTCTAGTATATCTCATTTCATTATCTTTGTATTCTCTGTAACTTTCAAATCACGTGTTAAGTTTTTGTTACCTGGGAAAGTAATTAAATATTTTACCTGTGTGGATATTTGTCTTGCTGTAACCAGATAATTATGTACCTTGTGGGATGTATTGGTAGTTTATGTAACTTTGAATTTAGTTACAGTTTTATGTATCTTACTGCTTATTGATTGATATTCTAAAAATCAAGGTGGCTAGTTTGTACCGGAGAAAGTATCATTATTTGTGAAACCCCCATTTAATGAACTATATGGAGAGGAGAGTCCATTATATCGAGGGTCTGTTAGATGTGAAACCCCCATTTAACGAACTATATGGAGAGGATAGTCCATTATATCGAGGGTCTGTTAGATGTGAAACCCCCATTTAACGAACTATATGGAGAGGATAGTCCATTATATCGAGGGTCCATTAAATGTCTAACCTCAACATAACGAACTATAGAGAGATTAATATAATGTCCGTTATATCGAGGGTCCATTTAACGGATTATAAGGAGAGAAGTCCATTATATAGAGGTTTCACTATACCTGCTGAATTTTTTTGTATTCCTCTACCTGTTATTATGATTACAGTGAATATACAGGTAGACTAATTAACTCTTCTTACCTGTCAAGCAATTAAAATTTTGTAACTATTAGACTGAATACATTTGATTACAGCGTTAATGAGTTGTGGTTTTGTGGCGATGAAACGTACTGTAATTTAATTTTGCATTTTTGAGATTGGTTACAGTTTCCCACCTGAAGATTAGACACCCTAGCTTATTTCACCTGATGATTTAACACCTGAATGCTACCTGTGGTTTGGTTAGGTTAGGTTAGTTTGGTTAGGTAAGTTGGGATAGGTTAGGTGTCTTATCTCCACGTGACAACAATTTCCTACCTGTAAACACATTAGCATTACTCCACACCTGCTTACACCTGCACACATTGCCTACACCTGCACACCTGCCTACACCTGCACACACTGCCTACACCTGCACACACTGCCTACACCTGCACACACTGCCTACACCTGCACACACTGCCTACACCTGCACACACTGCCTAACCCTGCACACCTGCCTACACCTGCACACGTCATCTTTTTGAAGTTTTGTTTACACCTGTCAGACTTTGCTTCAATAAGGTGGATAAGTGTCTATGAATTTACCCATAATTAAGAGAAAAAAAAATTGCCGCTCCAGGTAAAATTTGGCATTGATTCATCTTTTTTTTTATGTGTCAGCTGTTGTGATACATACATACATACATACATACATACAGTACATATGCATACATACATACAGTACATACATGCATACATACATACATACATACATACATACATACAGTACATATGCATACATACATACAGTACATACATACATACATACATACATACATACATACATATGTACAGTACATACATACATACATACAGTACATACATACATACATACAGTACATATATATACATACATACAATGAATTATCACTTCTTGATGTGTGAGAGAGAGAGAGAGAGAGAGAGAGGGGTGCCCAGTACAAATCAACAAAATGAGGTCCCCTTATTGAGTTACAGCCTGACCAGACCTTGAGGGGGGGGGTGGGGGTAGGAGGAGGAGGTGTTGTTCTTGTCATTGTTGTTGTTGATGTTTTTGTTGTTCTTGTTCTTGTTTTTGTTGTTCTTGTCATTGTTTTTGTTAATGTTCTTGTCATTGTTTTTGTTAATGTTTTTGTCCTTGTCATTGTTTTTGTTGATGTTTTTGTTGTTCTTGTTCTTGTTTTTGTTGTTCTTGTCATTGTTTTTGTTAATGTTCTTGTCATTGTTTTTGTTAATGTTTTTGTTCTTGTCATTGTTTTTGTTAATGTTTTTGTTCCTCTTGCAAAAAAAAAATGGTGATAAATTGAGAAAACGACAGAGTCTCAGCCTCTCTACGAACGATAATCCCTGACATAAAGTCCTTCAGGAGTGGAGGGAGTAGGGAGAGGGTAGGAGTGAAGGGTAGGAGGTGTGGGGAGGGGTAGGAGGTGTGGGGAGTATATCCTACGCGGCATAATCCTTTGGGGGAGAAAAAACACGATATCCTAGGCAGGGTAAACATGGTGTGGGGAGGGGAGAGGGAGGGAGGGGAGGTAGGTGTGTGAGGGGAGGGAAGGGGAGGGAGGGAGAGGAGGGAGGTGTGTGGTGTTTGGAGGGAAGGATATGGAGGGAGAGGGGGGGAGGTAGGGAAGGAAGGGGGGGAGGGGTACTAGTGTAGGGTGATGGCTGGAAGTCTGTGTGTGTGTGTGTGTGTGTGGTATTTCTGTCAACTACAATAAAACACAGTAGCCTCTCTCTCTCTCTCTCCTTTTATTGAAGTAGAATTTTGCTTATTGAAAATTAAAAGTAAAATATGAAACCTTTCTTCAAAATGGCCGACCAGCATTCAAGATATAAACATTTCTTTGTACAGTATATATAATCCCTCAACGATGGCTTCCAAGGATGCTGTAATAACGTTGTAAAGTCCTCCAAGATGCCAATATGTTTCTTCAACTGTGATTTTTCTTCTTATTTCTAGAGGATTAATTTTTTTTTATGTACCTTAGAAAGTTTTTTGATGGAAAGTATTGCTGGGTGTCCTGAGAGATTTTCTTCCTAATTGGTGATATGAGAACGTATCTAACTGCCTCAATTAAGCTACCACACAAAGATGGATTCTCAAAGTCTCTCTCTCTCTCTCTCTTACCTTTTGATAAATTAGAAAAAAGTTCAGTGTTTTTTCACAGAAATTCTTCAAAAGTTTCGACAAAGACCTACACATGCACTTTACCTTCCGTGTGTGTGTGTGTGTGTGTTGTATTGTGTGTATACCTGTGTGTGTTTTAGTGAGCTGGTGTATACAGTATATGCAAGTGTGTACATTCTCTCTGTGTGTTAATTTTTGGTCACACATATCAATAAAAAACACAATATATACACTTCAAACTGTTTCATCTCACAAACAAACAAAGAATTAGTGTTTTTTTTCGTCGTAAACAAAACATCAGTGAGGTAAACAAACAAACACACACACAAAAGGCAGAGAAAATTCCTTGTCTAGAGGCGGGGATAAAAATACTGAACCCGGGATTATTATTCTCTCTCTCTCACACACACACTTTCTATCTGTGTGTGTGTCTATTTTCACACACACACACACACACACAAAACACAGGGCAGGTTCCACAGTAATTTAATTTACATATACAAGATGAGTGAATTTCCTCATAAGCCTTGTGCAATTAACTTAGTGTAATGTTAACTGAATCATGTTAAATTAATCTGAAGTTAATTTAGTATAATGTTAACTGAATCTCATGTTAAATTAGCTGTATGTTAAGTTAGTCTAATATTAACTGACTCATGTTAATTTAGTATATTGTTAACTGAATCCCATGTTAATTTTATCTAATTTTAACCGATTCATATATTAAATTAACCTGTCATTTAGTCTAATATTAACTCATCTCATATGTTAAATTACTTAAACCTTAATTTAGCCACATTAATTAAACATGTTAACGCCCCAGGTAAAAAAAATCAGTGAAATTAACATGTTAACTCAACCAGGTGTGAACAGGTAAGGGAGGTAATTGGTCGACAGGTAGGTAGCGATGTATTGGTGTAAATCGTTCCGTGTCGCATCGAAAAGTCACCATCAAAAAGTTAGGTTGTGTTTGATGTCTGTCTGTGCGTATGTGTTAATGGCTGTGACAGGGTGGGTTGGGGTGGTGGGTGTGGATTGGGTTAGTGGGTGGGTTGGGGTGGTTGGGTGGTGGGTGGGGTTGGTTGGGTGGTGGGTGGGTGGGTTGGTGGTGATTAGGGTG